TTGTTTTCATTTCTCTTGGGTATATAACTAGATGTAGATTTGCTGAACATGAATAACTATATGTTTAATTTTTTGAGAAGCTGCCAGACTATTTTCCATAGTGGTTGCACCACTTTATATTCCTACCAGCAGTGGACAAGGGTCCATTTTCCCACATTCTTATCAATACTTGTCATTATGTTTTATTATTATTATTATTATTATTAACCATCCTTGTGAATGTGAAGTGATGTGAGTTTGATTTACATTCTTTGATGACAAAAGAGGTTGAAAAATATTTTTAAAGATTTATTTATTTATGCATATAGAACTGGGGTACAGGCCAGAGGTGCAAGAGTGAGAGTATTCACCAGAGATAAAGTGGGAAGCAGACCAGGCAGATGTACTGATATATACTGCTGAGGGGAGCAGTAGGCAGGTCTACCACACTATGTGGGTTGCACCCCTGGTCAGGGATTGAACTCTGCTGCAATGGCAGTGATAGCTTCACAGTGCTGTGCTTTAACCCATTACACCACAGCAAGGGCTTGAAAATATTTCACTTACATTGATGAACTGTGTATTTTCTTTGGAGAAATGTCTATTCAGAAACTTCTCCCAATTACTAATTGGGTTGTGTTTTTATTATTGAATTGTAAGAGTCCTTTGTATAATCTAGGTACAAGTCTTTTTATCAGTCAGTGATTTGCAAAAGTTTCTCTCATTTCTTGTGGTGTCCACTGAAGGATTAAAAAAAATTCTGCTCTTATTAAAAAAAAACTTTTAAATCTTTAAAACTTTAGTTACTGCATCCTGTTCTCAATATCCTGTTCACAGGTAATATACCTCTAGCCAACAATATTCTGGCACTTTCCATACTTGGGAATTGTTTTGCCAATTCTTGGTTTAAATGAGTCAAGAAATTTCCATTGCTTCTTTTCAGAAATTGCTTTACCAATGAAATTGTTCACTTTATCATATCTTATTTTCCTCCATTTTACAGTTTGTTACTCTTTAACAGTTAGTCACCAAACTTTTATTCTTTCTACTTAAGCTATCCAGTATTGTTTCCTCTTTTTGTTGAATCCTTGTAATAACCATGAGTCAGTTTTTTTTTAAAATATATTTATTTATGCATACAAGAATTGGGTACAGGCCAGAAATGTAGGGGGTGAGAGGATTCACCAGAGACATAGTGGGGAGCAGAACAGGCAGATTTACTGAAATACACTGCTGAGGGGGGCATTGGGTGAGACAGGAGAAGTCTACTGTGCCATGTGGGTCAGCTCCCTGGCTGGGGATCGAACTTGTGCTGCAGTGGCTGCAATAGCTTCAGAGCACTGAGTTTTAACCCACTGCCCCACCAGGGAAAGCCCAGGTCAGTTATTTTCTCCAGCAAGAGGGGATGTGGAAACAGCCTGAGTTTGATATATTTGTTATTTCTGAGTTGCTATTTGAGCTTTGCCAGCATGCACCAGAATTTTACATACAGATACACTCACTGCCCAAGTATCTTGCAATTTGATTTAACACCAGGCAAGTGATGCAGCATAGACTCATTAATGGCATTTTGAGGAGATAGTTGAGTGTCAGAGGAATGAGGCTGCTGGCTTCAAACAGCAGCTCAGTTTGTGCCAATTCCTAGCTTTAGAAATGAAAGAAGCAGCAGTCTGTGTTGCTGTCCCTCATAGCAGGTCAGCCCTTCACTTCAGAAGTGAAAGCTAGTCTCCAGGGAAGCAGGCAATATCCAAGAAAACAAATTGGATTGTCACTCACCCATTAGACTTTGATTGGTGGTTTCATCAGCCTGATTCCACAAAAACTACAATGTACAGCATGACATAGGGCAAGATCTGTAAATAATGGAAAACTTGGACTCTTTTCCATGAGCTCATGGTTCAAATTCAACATTTGAGTCCTTCTTTCAAAAAATCAGTAATAAAATTATCACATGTTTTCATTATTCAATTGCTGTGTACCTGTCCGAAGAACACAAGACGCAGATGGGAAGGAAAATGTGTAACCCTATTTCATTGCAGCACTGTCTGCAGTAGCCAGCATATGAAAGCCCACTGAGGGGTGAATGGATAAAGATATGTTCTGACACACAGTGGAATACTACCCAGCTAGTAAAAAGGATGAAATCTTGCCTTTTTTTTTTGACAATGTAGATGAACCTTGTGTGGATTATGTTAAGTGAAACAAGTCAGACAGACAAAGACAAATACATACAAAATGTGGAGATTAAAGAATCAAGAAAAATGAACAGACACAACAGACAAAAACAAACTCTTCTATCTGACAACAGAATGGTAGTTACCAGATAAGGGGATGAAGGTGGTTAAATCCCACAAAGGGCATCAATTACATGGTAGTAAAGGGAAACTAGACTTAGGATGGTGATTATAATGTACTATACACAGATATTGAAATACCAAATTGTATATCTGAGACTAATACTATGTTATAGACAATGTTACCTCAAAGAAAAACAAAAGCAAGGGCTATCAAAAACAAAATATCTACTTTGAAATGTATGTTGTTTTCCTGAACAATTTTTTGACTTGCTATAGTTTTTCCCTGATCACATTATTTTTTAAGATTTATTTATGTTACAATACATAAATATACTGTATACAAACAGCATTTTTTAAAGATTTATTTATTTATTCATACAGAACTGGGGTACAGGCCAGAGATGTGGAGGGTGAGAGGCTTCACCATAGACAGTGGGGAGCAGAACAGGCAGATCGACGAAGTACACTGCTGAGGGGAGCAGCGGGTGGGTCAGGAGAGGTCTGCCACGCCATGTGGTCATCTCCGGGGCGGGCAGGGATCAGACTCATGCGGAAGTTGCTTAAGCTTCTTAGTGCTGTGCTTTAACCCGCTGCGCCACCAGGGAGGGCCACATACAGCATATTTACAGACCAGAGGTATAGGAGTAGTAAGAGGATTCCCAGAGACAGAGTGGGGAGCAAAACAGGCAGATTGAAAAAATACACTGCTGAGGGGAGCAGCAGGTGAGACACTAGAAGTCTTCTGTGCCATGTGGGTCACCTCCCTGGACAGGCATCCAACTCATGCTGAAGCAGCTGTGGCTAGCTTCGTAGTGCTGCTCTTTAATCTGTTGTGCCACCAGGGAGGGCCCTTTCCCTGATCACTTTAATCTTGTCTTTCCAAAGTGGCCTATGTTTATTTAAAAATCATTTCATTTGGGTCAGTGGTGCCCTCAGTCATCTGTGTTCATGGGGATCCACTGGACATGGAACCAGTTGTCCATGTGGATGATATCCAGAAGGTAGCAGTTGCCCCCATTAGGGCTGAAGTGGAAATCCAGCCACTGCCTTGCAATGTTCCTCTTTCAGCCTCAACGTTTCCTAAGTTCAATCAACTGGTAGCTGATCCAAAAGGAAGCTGAGGCCCCCCACTCTTCTTTTGTGAAAGGGGGAAGGTTCCATCTGTTTACATGGGGCTCCAACATCAGTCTCCTAGAGAAACAATGCAGGTGAGCGCACACTGCACATAGCATTGACCCTGAAATGCAATGTAGGCATTGTTCTTCTGGTGACTTTTCGGGACACCGAGCTCAGTTTTGCTTCACTTTTCTCTGGCAGACCTGAAGGCCAATCCCTCAAAGTTAAAAGTTTAGAAGCACTCATTAACCTATTTGACTTGGCCCCAAGCACGCTTCCTACAGAGATTTCCTATTCTGAGGAATTTGATGGAATTCCCTGAGGAAAAACACCCATTTTAGCTGGCATACTCTAGAGTCAATGGAACTAGTTATTGTATTACTGTGCCTTGAAATTTAGAAGGATCTCGGAATTGCTATTGTTTTCCTGGTGAATTGTAACAGTGTTGGCTTTAGAATAATGCAACACACTTAAAACATAAATACCCATAAACTGTAACTCAGCCCCTAGGGTATTTTTCACTGACTGACCCAATCTCAGGAAGAATATTTTTTTCTGTGAGATCCAAGACTTCAGAGGCCAAACATTTCCTAAAGGCTTTCCTCTGCTTTCTGACCTCCACTTACCTCCTACAAGACATCAGCAGGCAATTGAGAGTGCCCAGTGGGCCTCAGGGGCAGGGTACAGGAACAAAGGCACATTAATAAAAGGAACAAGAGTCTTTCTTGGCATTGGTATTGTGGTAACAAAAACTGAGTTGCTTGCTGTCTTGAGTATGTTAACCCCTTGATTTATGGCTGGAGTTTAAATTACCCAATCCTGAAGCTTTTCAGAAGGATTGGTTTTGTACATGGTGTACATTTGTAACCCAGAAACCAACTCTATCATCAAATAGGAGTGATGGTTAGGAGTAAAGGCAGCCAAAAATACTTAAATAATCAGACTCTGGCACATTCAGAATTTGAAACTCATTAGTTCAGCTGCCTCTCCCTGTAGCTTGTTAAAACCTGAACTGGGTGCGTTGGGTTAGTGGTTTGGGGATAGAATTTTGGATATATTATTAGGAGATATCCTGGCATGGTGTTCAGAGCTCTGTCACTCTGGCAGGCCAGGCACAGGAGAAAGTATATTAGGCTCTTACCCACCACTGACCAATCCTGTGTAAGGCATCTCCCCAGATTTCTGAGGACAGCTCGGTTTATGTTCACTCATTTCACAAAGTTGCAAACATCTTTGCCCACAATTTCACAAGTCTTGTCTGAACTAGACAGTCTACTCCTTCAGGGTAGGAACCTTGTTTCTCTTCACTTCTGGCAACCTTCTTCCCTCATTCCTCACCTCACTGGGGCCTGGCCAGTGGACACTGTTAATATGAATTGGCACTGGTGGGGGGGAGGAGGAGGTCATCTGGGTAGTGTGACGATCCATGACTTTTTTCTTCATTGCTATAGCCTGATGCCTCCTGTAGTTCTTGACCCCTTTAGGATCTAGGGCTCCTGCCAGGCTACCCTTTCCTCCAAAAGATGCTCTCCGCACCACCCTCGCGTCCCCATCAAGCCCCCAAAGCTCAGAGTTTTCTGAGCCTACCGCTCCAGGCACCTGGGTTCGGATCCCCGCCTTGACTTTAAGACAGACCTCGCTGAACGAGGTGGCGCCGGCCAGGCGCGCGGCCAGGGTGCCCGCTCCCGGGGCTGTCTGCAGGGTGGGGCCGCGCTGGCGGCCGCTCCCTCCCGCGCCTTCCCCATCCCCAAAGAGGATCCCCCTCCTTCCGCCCGGCCCGCTCCCCACCCTCGCCGCGGCGCCGCCTTCCTCGCCGCCCGCCGGCGCTGGCCCAGAAGCTCGCGCCAGCCAGCGAGCGAGGGGAGCGCTCTGGGATGGGACTTGGAGGCGGCGGCGAAGGAGGAGACAGCGGCTGCGGCTTGGGCTTCCTCCTCCGCTCCCACGAGCGAGCCCTGAGGAGAGCCGCGGTTCTCGGAGCGGACCGGAGGCCAAAGGAGGACCCGGGGGGCTGCGCCTCCGTCTCGCTGGGCGGCCGCAGCTGCAGGTGAGCCGGGCGCGCCTTCCGCCGGTTCTGCCCGGCCCGGCTGCCCCTGGCGCGGGCTGACCGACGGACTGCCCCTCAGAGCCACCTCTGGCTGAATGGCAGAGCCTGGCTGGCGGACGCTCGCTGGCACTCCCCCCAGGCCCGCGCCCCGGCCCCCGCGCCCCCACTCCGGGCGTCCCCTCCCGCCCCGGGTCTGTCTCCCGAGCCCTCTGGGGACTGGGAGTGGGACGGCGGCGCTGCCGGGACCCCTCAGCCGCGGGAAGCCGAGCCACCCCGCGGCGGGCCGAGCTGGGCGCGCTCCCCTCGCGGGGCGCACACTGCGGCCGAGTGCCCCTTGGGGGCGCTGTGCCCCGCCGCTGGGACAGCCGACCTGGGCTCCACCGTGCGGGAAAGGCAGGCATGAGCGGGAAGCGGTGATTCCCATTCTACCCGCAGCCTGGATGAGTCCTGTTCTCGCCCTAGGTGGGCTGGCGTTGTCATGCCCACCATGGATTTAGTTCTTGGTGCCCTATGGCAGCTATGACTCCAGCTTTCCTGTGTTGTGGAGAAATGGGGGCGGGGGTCATTTTTTTGTGGTAGTTGCTAGAAACGCTAGAAACGCTGAAAAAAGTTCGGGGGTGGGGGAAGACAAAAATGGGCCCCTCTCTCGTTACTGTCTCTGGGCTGGCAGGAAGGCAGCTCCTCGCGGAACACGCCCCTGCCCCTAACCAATTCAGCTGATCTAGTCCCAGTTGGCATAAATGAGGCGCCAGGCTGCGTTTGCACCAAGTGCATTTAATGGGCCTTCCAGGAGTGGGGCAGTCAAAAGACTGCAGGTCTAAGGTTATTTAATTTAACATATATTGATTTTTTACTAATCAATGCGCTTTTCAATATGCTTCTGTTTTCTGATAATTTATTTACAAAGCTCAGCAACCGGAATATAGGGGATCAGAGATGACAAAGTGTCCCTTATTAAGCATCACAGTACAGGAAGGGGACAGAGGTGGTAGTAAGGTGGGAAAAAAGTCCCCAGTCAGGGGTGTATAAAACAGTCGATCTTAGTTGAGAAAATTAGAGGTTTTAGAGGGTGGGATACATAGGAGCTGAGTCTTGAGGAATGAGCACAGCTTTGATTAATTGGGACTGTTAGATCTCCTGCTAGGCCAGGAGGACAGCCGGATGAAGGCTCCCAGCCTGGCCAGATGCAGTTCTTCAGGCACCAGAGGGGACCTCTGAAATGGGAAGATGGGCAGTGGTCCATCCTATAGGACCGTAACTTTATGTGATAAGGCATTGGATGGGTTCTGAACAGAGGGTCAGGGGAGTAGGTGCAGGACCCAAGGCAAAGAAGAAAGTTCTGAAACTCCTGCAGGAGTGTGGGTGAGAAATGGCCAGAATGGAGCATGGGAGAGTCTTTCCAGCTGTAAGTTGTTGTGCCCCATCTATCAACTGGAAGCTCATCCACCTTAGAGCAGGCATGCAGGGATCAGGTGAGATGATTCTTTGCAAATTGCCCAGCTCATTGCCTAGCCCTTAGTGAACATTTAAAAGTAGTGCCCAAGCTTCTTTCTCTTCCTGACTGGAGACAGCATTTACCATGCTGGAGGATGTCATGCTTAACCCTCTTCAAGGTAACAGGGACTTAAGGGCCTGTGGTTGGGTTTAGGCTAAGAAATGCTACTTTCAGGCCATTTTACGGCTGACTATGGAAAGCTCAGAGAGTGGTCACCTAGAGAAGGTCACACAGAAGCAGGCCTCTCCTATCTAGGCCCATCGTTCTCTCTGGGGAGACTCTGCCCTTCTGTCAATGTACTCAGAACAGGAATGCTTACAGGATCTCCTTCTTGTTCTCCCACCACCCCCTAAATGAAAAGACACATTGTCCCATGGAGAGAGGAATAATTGCTACAACAAAAGTCCAAGCTGTTGTATTTAAGAAATTTTTCTTTCCATGCTCCCAAAAGCTTCAGGAAATCTGTTCAGAGTAAATAAATCTCTCTTTCTCAGCACAGCCGTTATTCTCACATGCCATGCATGAAAGGAACAGTTTCTCAGACATCATTCCTTTTTCCACTTAGAATTGACTTCTGCTCTTAAAATTCCAGCAGTTGTAAATGCTGAGCTGAGAAACAGTTACTAATAGAGGCTACTAGCCTATTTTTTCTTTTTTCACTACCTTTGCAATAAAAAGAAACCTATCTTGTTTGACACTAATATTGCCATACTTTTTATACTGGTTTGTCTACCAGTTGTTCGTGGTTTCAGGTACTAGGAGTGGGAAAAGAGAGTCAAGTACAAAGGAACATGAGAGAAATTTGGGGGGGTTATATCATAATTTTGGGGGTGGACAAATGCTCTATGCATTTGTCAGCAGACATCAAATTGTATACACCTTGCCTTCCATTACCCAAAAGTAGAATGCTCCTATGAAACCTTTACTGAAATGGTAATAAAGGAACAATTACCAGTATCTTTTCTCCAATTCCTTTAGTTTTTCTAAAACAACTCTTGTGAAGTATTACTTATACAACATAGAAGAGGTTGAAAAATATTTTTAAAGATTTATTTATTTGTGCATACAGAACTGGGGTACAGGCCGGAGACTCAGGGGCGGTGAGAGGGTTCACCAGAGACAGAGTGGGGAGCAGAACAGGCAGATCGACGAAGTACACTGCTGAGGGGAGCAGCGGGCGGGTCAGGAGAGGTCTGCCGCTCCATGTGGTCACCTCCAGGGCAGGCGGGAATCGAACTCATGCGGAAGCGGCTTTAGATTCTCAGTGCTGTGTTTTAACACGCTGCGCCATCAGGGAGGGCCAGATCACTTCATTTTTACAAAAGTTTACCTACATTAGTACCGGTCTCACTAACTAAAAGAAAGCTGAAAAGGCTTTGCATTTTTATGACAAAGGTGGAAAGTGAAAATGCATTAAGCATTTCTTTTGAAGCACTAGTCTGCTTTCTGTCGAATAATGTTGCCTCTTATTAAATGTCATCTAAATACAGTTGCTGAGTATGTAATCTGTTTGTGTCTGATTGCTTTCACTCAGTCTGTTACTTAGAAATTCATTCCTTATTTTGAGATTCATAGTATTCCATTGTGCAGACATATATACTATAATTTATTTTTCTGTTCATCAATCTATAGATATTTGTGTTGCTCCCAGTTTTTGGCTTTTAAAACTAAACTTGTGAATTTTTGGGCCTGTGAATGCTCAGATTTTCCCCCAAGAAATGAGTGGTAACTGCTTCATTACTTTATACCATTTTGGTAAAGGTTTCATAGGAACACTCTGAGTATAACTCTTTGTGTGGATATATTTTTTTCTTTTGAATAAATACGCAGGATAACAGGTAGGAAATGAAAACATTCCAGTTTCCCAGGACGAGGAGTCTCTTGGGATGTAAGACTTTCAGTTTTAAAACATGGGCAGTTCTGGGCAAACTGGGACAATCGGTCATCCTGTGCTGTGTCCTTTGGCAAGTGGATATTTAACTTTAGGAGAAACTACCATGTTGTTTCTTAAAATATCTGTACCATTTTGCATTCTTAAAGTACATCTTTGTCAGTACTTGGTTATATCAATATTTTAAATTTTAGTTATTCCAGTGGATTTATCATGAAACCATATTATGGTTATAGTAAATAAAAATATTGAATATCTGTTCATGTTTATTTGTCATCCAAACATCTTCATGGGTGATAGGACTATTTAAATCTTTTGTGCATTTATAAGTGAATTGAAAACCCACTTATGGAACTGTAAGAGTTTATGTAGTTTGGATATAAATAATACATTTTGCAAGTATTTTCTACCAGCCTGTGACTTGCTGTGCCATTGCATCTTTAAAAATAAGTTTTAAATACTTTCAGAAACATTTAAAATTTTGAATTTGTATGCCATCGTTGTATTATAGTAAGTCACTAGTAAGCATAAATGTTAATTTAATGTACATTAAATGGTTTAGTATGACAAAATTAATGAGTACATTTATATTAATTTGGTTTGATTACACAGTGGTAAAAATAACCACAATAATTCTTATTGAATCAGTAAGTATTGGCTAGTGTTCTGTACCAGGGTTCTGTGTTCTCTTTGTGTGTATGTGTGTGTGTATTCATATGTATAAATATGGGCTCAGCACCTAGAGTTTGGGGAGCATGGACTTCTCACCCTGCCTCACCCACCTTCTCTTGTGGTGTGTTACAGCCTTGCCCTTCTTCCTCCCCTTGAAGATGGAAAAGATGCTGGTGGGCTGCTTTCTGCTTTTCCTGGGACAGATCTTCCTCCTGCCTACTGAAGCCAGGGAGCGAAGACCTATCTCTAGAGGGAGACATGCTCGGACCCACCCCCAGATGGCTCTTGTGGGTGAGTGATGAGGACGCCACCTACTGAGGAGGTGGTTTAGGGGCGCCTCCAGGTGGGGGATGGGTGTCTGTCAGTCTTGGAAGCTCTCCTGTGCCTGAGTGGTCTGCTGGGTGTGCTGGGAGAACTGGCTCCTTGCCAGTGAGTAAATCCAGGGTGAGGATGGGATCCTGCACTGGTTTTCAAAATGAAATGAAGCCGCTTCTGATTGTGAAGACTTCCAATTTAATCTGGGGCTCATGACTTTAGTATGCAAGGTCCTCTCTGGACTTATCTGGACAAGGGTACTATGAGAATTTTTATTGTAGTTGTCCAGATAATCTGTATTAATGGTGTTTCCCTGCAGGGCGACATAGGGGAAAGAGAAGGCGGGTTTGTGCAAGGCTGGGACAGGCTCGGAAGAGAAGTGGGTGTTATGAGCTGAGTCAAGATTTGAGAAAAAGAAAAATGTCAAGGCTCTATTATTCTGACTCTGTGATTGTGGTTTTCTTAAGGTAAATTTCTTTTCTTCTGGAAAAGGAAAGGTCACGGAGGTACTTGGGATAGAGACAAGTTGGCATGATTGGAAGTGTGGGTTGTGGTGAGTGTAAGAATGGGAGGGACAGCAAGGTGGCCAGAGGAAAGAGGAGGGGTTTTGACACAGCTCTGGGCTCCAGTCTTGGCTCTGGCACTTGGCAGCCTGGTTTATCTAGGCCAAGTAATCTCACTGAGGCTCCTTTTCCTCCTCCATAAAATGGGAACGTGAGTGCCAAGTTTGGAATATTTTGTGAGGAGTAAATGAGGTAATATGTGTACATTGTGGGTACACAATAAATGCTAGTTTGGCCACAAACATCATTCTGTGAAGTCATTCTCTGAAGCTGTATTTCTTTTACATCGTGTTGGCCAGCTGCTTGACTCTGATACCCTGCGAAGGACATTGGTGTAAATGTCCTCTGATCTGGTGGCCTCAGCATTCAAAGTCACCATCAGATGCTGAAAGGATGCCATCAGATACTGTTTTGAGTCTTTACTGATGTGAACATGAAATGACACCAAGATAACTGAGCTTCCTTTTCTTTAATCTCCCGAGGGAATCCCTGTTTCCATAGTGATGTAAACATAAGACTTTGCAAATGTGAAAGAACTGGGGGAATGTTTAGCACAGTAGTGAAAGGGTTTTTAAACCAAATTTTAAGATAAGGAAAGGGGAAGATGTGGATAGAAAGATATCTCTGTCTATCTCCAGCCATCTGTGTCTCTATCTATATCCGTGTTGGAATTACTGATGTCGTTGCTTTCAGAATGAGCTGCCACACACAGATAGAAAAGCATATTCCTTTTCTTGGCTCCAAATCTTTCCTTTCTCTCTCCCCCACCAATGCCCCCCACCCCACACACACCCCCACACTAAGCGTTTCCTTGATATCAATACTCACTGCCCTCCTCCTTCACCCTAAGCTCAAGCTATGAAGTAAAAAACCCCTTGTCTCCTGAGTGATAGAACCATTTTGCCAAAGGCATAAAGGCACTTCACCAGTACAGCTTCCCCTTTCTCAAATTCAGTCAGGACCAAGAAGATGGAAACAGCATGTTCCCACCCAAGGGGTGCCGAGTGGCCACTCCCAGAGAGGCTGGAAGCTGCTGGACTTGTGAACACCATGTTGGCCTGGCTGCTCACACGCAGTCTGCTTTTGGCTTTATTCTCAAAAGAAACAGCTGGAGAAGGCTCCTAGGACCTTCTCTTCCTTCTTAGAGGATGGAGTCTTGTGTTTGCTTTTCTTGGCTTTTTGTTATCTACAGAACATTGCCCAGGTCACATTTTTACTTTTCTGGGACAAATCATCTTAGCTACATATATGGTGTCAACCATAATGTATGATGTCTTCTACTGCAAGGGTGTCTCTGAATGTTCAACAGTAGAAACAGAATTGTTCCTCTGTTAATGTTTTATTTGAATTTTCTGATTAAAAAATGTTTATATTTTATGTCTAAATTCAATCCGCAGCCCCAGTGTCAATTTGAGCAATTAAAAAAGAAATGTGTTTGTACTTATCCACCCTTCCCATGGGTGCCTCACCTGTGATATATGCCTATGGGGGATTATCTCTTCCTTCCTTCCTTTATCTAGGATTTCTCCTCGGATCCAGACACTGACTTTAAGATGAACAGCCTCCATCAGGAAGTGTAGTGGGGGAAATAGAGATACAAAGATCATTAATTTAGGGGACTTGATATATAACAGCAGAAGCAGAACTGAGTTAGAGCTTGACTGTGCTTGCTGTAGGCTCAGATTAAGGTAGCAGCTCTCAAATTTTTTGGTCTCAATGCCTTTCTGCACTTAAAATTTATTGAGGATCCCAAAGAGGTTTTGCTTATGTGGATTGGGTCTTTTGAAATTCACTGATCTTTTACAGAAATGGAAATAGACTTGAAAAAATAGCTATCAATTGTTAATAATGACTTAAAATAGAACATTTACAAACCCTAATGTAACCTATTATATAAATTATATGTTTGTATGAAAATGCTGTTTTCTAAATTAAAAGAAAATAAGTGAAAAAAGTGAGAACAATAGTGTCTTAAAATTTTTACAAATCTGTTTAATATCTGGCTTAATCAAGGACAGCTGGATTCTCTTGTTCATTCAGTCTGTCATGAAATGTTATTTTGGTTGGACTCCATGAAAAAAGTGGCCTCACACAGACATGTAGTCAGGAAAAAAAGGAAGGCATTTTTCTTTAGTAGTCACTTCATGTAATTGCAGATTTTCTTCTTTGATATGTTACCAACACTTGACAAATGGTAGTTCTTAAAGTTTAATTTCAATGTGGAGTCAAAAGCCATGTCGATAAACCTTTTATACTGTATGCACTCAGGAGAGAACAAAGTGCAAAAGGCAATCTGTGTTAATGTGAAAGTAATTCTACGCAGCATTTTTACAATAGCTGGGGCTGGGAAGAGCCTGACGAAATGTTACCATTTATAGTGAAATGAAAGGAGCTCAAGGAAATCAAATTGTGTACTAGTATAAAAGCAGAAAAATAAAGACAACTATTGGACAAATCATATGAGTCCAACAAGGCATCAGCAGATAAGTTGGTTTCTGAGGTTGTTTGGGGTCAACCGGTAGAAGGTACTGGTGACTGGGAATAAAAAGGCTTTAAGAAACATAAAGATGGGCCCTCCCTGGTAG